CCACAAGAACGTTATGGGAAAACTGCTCCCATGATTCAATTATCTCCCACCAGGTCCCTCCCACAACACATGGGAATTATGGAAGTTACAATTCAAGATGAGATTTGGGTGGGAACAGAGCCAAACCATATCATTCCATCCCCGGCCTTTCCCAAATCTCATGTCCTCACATTTCAAAACCAATCATGCCTTCCCCAAAGTCTTTTTTTTTTTTTTTTTTTTTTTTTAATTTTTTTTTTTTTTTGTGAGAGAGAATCTCATTCTGTTGCCCAGACTGGAGTGTGGTGGCACAATCTTGACTCACTGTAACCTCTGCCTCCTGGGTTCAAGTGATTTTCCTGCCTCAGACTCCTGAGTAGCTGGAATTACAGGCATGCACCACCATGCTCATCTAATTTTCTGTATTTTTAGTAGAGACGACGTTTCACCATGTTGGCCAGGCTGGTCTCAAACCCCTAATCTCAAGTGATCCACCCACCTTGGCCTCCCAAAGTGCTGGGATTACAGGCATGAGCCACTGTGCCCAGCCCCCCAAAGTCTTAACTCAGTTCAGCATTAACTCAAAAGTCCACAGTCCAAAGTCTCATTCAAGACAAGGTAAGTCCCTTCTGCCTATGAGCCTGTAAAATCAAAAGCAGGTTACTTCCTAGATACGGTGTGGGGTATAGGCATTGTTTAAATACACCCATTCCAAATAGGAAAAAAATGGCCAAAATGAAGGATCTAAAGACCACATGCAAGTCCAAAATCCAGCAGGGCAGTCAAATCTTAGAGCTCCAAAATGATCTGACTTCATCTCTTGTGTCCAGGTCATACCAATGCAAGAGGTAGGTTTGCATAGTTTTGGACAGCTCCACCCCTATGGCAGGTTACTGCCTCCTCCTGGCTGCCTGAATGGGCTGGCATTGAGTGTTTGCAGCTTCTCCCAGTGCACAGTGCAAGCTGTCAGTGGGAATACCATTCTGGGTTGCACAGGATGGTAGCCCTATTCTCACAGCTCCACTAGGCAGTGCCCCAGTGGGAACCCTGTGGAGGGGCTTCAACCCCACATTTCCCTTCCTCACTGCCCTAGCAGAGGTTCTCCATGAGTGCCCCATCCCTGCAGCAAACTTCTGCCTAAACATCCAGGCATTTCCATACGTCCTCTGAAATCTATGCAGAGGTTCCGAAACCTTAATTCTTTACTTTTGTGCACCCGCAGGGTCAACACCACATGGAAGCTGACAAAGTATGAGACTTGAACCCTCTGAAGCCACAGCTGCAGCTGTACCTTGGTCCCTTTTAGCCATGGCTGGAGTGGCTGGGACTCAGGGCACCAAGTTCCTAAGCTGCACATGGCAGGGGGGCCATGGGCCTGGCACAGAAAATGCAGCTGACTTGAATTTTTCCTCAGAAAATGGGTTTCCCTTTGTCACATCATCAGGCTGCAATATTTTCCAAACTTTTATGCTGTTTCCCTTTTAAAACCCAATGCTTTTAACAGCATGCAAGTCACCTCTTGAATGCTTTGCTGTTTAATAACTTCTTCCACTAGATACCCTAAATCATCTCCCTCAAGTTCAAAGTTCCACAAATCTCTAGGGCAGAGGAAAAATGCCGCCAGTCTCTTTGCTAAAACATAGCAAGAGTCCCCTTTACTCCAGTTCCCAACAAGTTCCTCATCTCCGTCGGAGACCACCTCAGCTTGGATTTCATTGTCCATATCATTATCAGCATTTTGGTCAAAGTAATTCAATGAGTCTCCAGAATATTTCAATCTTTCCCACATTTTCCTGTCTCCTTCTGAGCCCTCCAAACTGTTCCAACCTCTGCCTGTTACCTGGTTCCAAAGTCTCTTCCACATTTTTGGGTATCTTTCCAGAAGTGCCCCACTTTACTGATACTAATTATTGTACTAATCTATTTTCACACTGTTGATAAAGAAATATCTGAGACTGTGTAAATTATAAAGAAAAAGAGGGTTAATGAATTCACAGTTCCACATGGCTGGGGAGGCCTCACAATCATGGCGGGAAGTGAAAGGCACCTTACGTGGTGGCAGACAAGAGAGAAGGAGAGCCAAGAGAAAGGGGTTTCCCCCTATAAAACTCTCAGATCTTGTGAGAATTATTCACTACCATCAGAACAGTATGGGGAAAACCACCACCATGATTCAATTATCTCCCACTAGTTCCCTCCCACAATAGGTGGGAATTATGGGAGCTACAATTCAAGATGAGATTTGGGTGGGGTCACAGAGAAACCATATCAATGGGATAGCATATTTGCAAACTACCCATCTGACAAGGGATTAATAACCAGAATATATAAGGAGCTCAAATAACTCTATAGAAAAAAATCTAATAATCCAATTTAAAAATGGGCAAAAGATTTGAATAGACACTTCTCAAAAGAAGACAAACACATGGCAAAAAGCAGATGAAAAGGTGCTGAATGCCACTGATTATCAGAGAAATGCAAATCAAAACTACAATGAAACGTCATCTCACCCCAGTGAAAATGGCTTTTATCCAAAAATACGGCAATAACAAATGCTGGAGGATGTGAGAAAAGGGAACCCTCACACACTGTTGGTGGGAATGTAAATTAGTATGACCACTATTGAGAACAGTTTGAAGGATCCTCAAAAAACTAAAAATTGAGCTATCATATGATCCAGCAATCCCACTGCTGGGTATATGCCCAAAAGAAAGGAAATCAGTATATTGAAGAAATATCTGCACGCCTATGTTTGCTGCAGCATTGTTCACAGTAGACAAGATTTGGCAGCAACCTAAATGTCCATCAACAGATGAACAGTAAGGAAAATGTGGTACTATTCAGCCATAAAAAAAGAATGAGATCCTGTCATTTGCAACAACATGGATGGAAATAGAGGTCATTGTGTTCAGTAAAATAAGCCAGGCACAGAAAGAAAACATTGCATGTTCTCACTTGTTTTGGGGATCTAGAGATCAAAACAATTGAACTCATGGAGACAGAGAGTAAAAGGATGGTTACCAGAGGATGGGAAGGGTAGTGAGGCTATGGGGAGGGAGGTGAGAATGGTAAATGGGTACAACAAAAAATAGAAAGAATGAATAAGACCTATTACTTGAGAGCTCAACAGGCTAATTATAATCAAAATGATTTAATTGTACATTTTAAAATAACTAAAAATTATAATTGCATTATTTGCAATATAAAGGATAAATGTTCCATTTTCCATGGTGCAATGATTATGCATTGCATGCCTGTATCAAAATATCTCATGTACCCCATAAATATATATAACTACTATATACCCACAAAAATTAAAAATTAAAATTTTTTAAAAAGTGAGTCACGGACAAAACACCATATATTTATGTCATGTAATATTTTATTTATGTTGTGAATTTTCACAAACATTATACAATAATTATTTTGCATCAGGCTTTCCATATTACGTGTAGGATTTCTTTCCAGTAGAAGTTTCACATGACTTTTAAAGTAATTGTTAAAAGCGGTAACTTCTCTGTACTTTTTTATTTTTTGAGACAGAGCCTCACTCTGTTGCCCAGGCTGGAGCGCAGTGGTGCCATCTTGGCTCACTGCAAGCTCCGCCTCCCGGGTTCACACCACTTTTCTGTATTTTCTACACTATTAGTGCTTTAATCCAGTATACATTCTTGTATTTATAAAATTTTCTTCAGTGTCTGTTACCATGTGTCTTTGTGTATATATAAGAAATGAAAACATTCCCATATTCCATACATTCATAGAGTCTTCCTCCAGAATAAGTATGCCATCAAGTGAAAATGGAACAACTAAAGGCCTCACCATGCTTCTTACATTCATAAAGCTTTTCTTCCACATGAGCTCTTCCGTATTTTCAAAAAGAACTGGGAAAACTAAAGGCTTAGCCACATTTCTTACAATCATAGGGTTTTTCTCCAGTGTGATTCTATTCAATTCTTTTGACCTCAAGAGTCTTTGAATAGAAAAGGACACTAGATCATTTGATCCTTTTTTTTTACAATTGAGACTAACAAATCTCAGATAGTAAAGTGGCTAGTTGATGATTTTCCTATATCTTCTGCCACTGTGTCACAAGGTAAGTGGCCAATAGATTGACGACTTCAGAGAAGTCAAAAGAGAGATGTACGACATGAGAAAAACAAAGTTCGAACTGGCTATTGGATATAGGGTCACTAATATGCTTCTTTTTTTTTTACAGAGAGAATGTTGAAAAGAATATTCAATTTTGTTTGAAAAGTTGTAGAGTAGGGCACTAGTGAATTACTCAGTATCATCTGTTTTCATTTTTGACAACACAATTTTTACGGTAAAGATTTCAATATAATCACCAAACAACAGGATCCATCTATGTGACAGCATCATATATTTGGTCAATTTTTATCCTGCCAGCTTGTAGAGGGGCCACAGACATGTCCCAGGTCATAATGAGGGTTAGTGGCAGATCTCAAATGAACAGTAGTAACAAACATATAAAGAAGTGAAATTTTGCCTGAAACAGAACCTGCTATGATATATGTTCTGATAATGTGAAAAGGACCAAGATAACTAGGGCGGGGAGAGGGTGAGAGGATAATCCCCAGGGGGCTAGGACTAATTCATCCCTGTGATCTCTCTTGTGCCTACCATAACGGTTAGCCCGAAGTAGACACACAGAAATGTCATTTTTTCATTGACTTGAATCTGACCAACTAAAATCAAGAGTTGTTTGCTGATGGCTCTGCTGCAGCTGTGAAGAAATAAAAGCAGGGAATTCCAACAGAAATTATTATGCAGTGTTTACATAGTTTTCCCAGAAAAACCACTATGACTTTCAAAGGCATAATAACTCAATAAATTTTCCAGAAGAAACAAGAATGAAAATGAGGATCATGCGGATAGAACTTATGTAATTCTAAACAAGGCAGTTAACCTTTTGGGAAAACAGTTTTGATTTTGGATTAAGAAGGTCATGAATATGTCTCTCCCACATTGAATATTATAATTCCAAACAACTTTTTCACGTGTTAGTGGACATTTTTTAAAAATGACAACAGAATATTTCCTGGGCTTCTATATTTTAAATCCTTGGAGAACAGAGTGGTTCTATTTTGAGAAAATACCACACTGATAACCCTGAACTCTTCTGGATGTGGAATTCACAGAATGTTAAATATGAGATAAGTTTAACTCTGTGGAGAAAGTTACACTGAAACTTTAGCATGAACTATCACTTCTCAGGGTGTCTATGAGAAAAGTATTCGCAACAACAGTTCAACACTATGACCTCATAACTATCAATTTAGTTTGCATATAGGTGCCCCTGGTGGCTCATATCTGTGTTACATAATTCACTATTCTTTACCTCTTGAAAAGCTCATGTTGAAGTACAGCATTTGGCATGTGAGTAAAAATAACACAATCTGCTAAATGTCATAATAAAACAAATGGTTTTATAAGACGTGCTCAGGTAGCACCCAGGGAGAAAGGTGTCTCTCTGCTTCAAAGGGTCATCCCACTATTTCAGCTGTCAAAGCATGGATACCTGGAGCCAAAGAAAGGAAGAAAAGTGTAATATTAGTTCACTATATTAATATGGTTTTTAAAATACCTGTTGGATCTGAAAAGAAAACTGAGAGGTCAATGGAAAGAGGCAGAGCAATGTAACAGAAGACCTTAGCATTTAGAGCAAAATCTGAATTATATCTGAGGTCTTGGCTCTGTTACTTACTGGATATGTGGCTTAGAGTGGCTAACTATAGGCTCTGTTGCCTACCTACTTTCAAAAAGAGAAATATCTACTTCACTTGACTGCTGAAAAGAATTTAGAGGAAATAATTCAGCATATAATCTATCATGGGTCCTAACTCAGCAACTAGTAAGGAGATTGGTTCCATTTAAATATAACTTTGGGAAGCATCGATGAGAATAAGAACACAGATCCACTGATGTTTTTCTATACTGTTATTTTCTTCTAAATCTTCCTGTAATTTTTGCACTGAATATTCCAGTATAGACATTTGGGAAAAAAATAAAAAGAAGGACAGACCCCATGAAAAATAGGTAGCAGACTCAAAACCAACTCCTTCAGCACATAATCATTTACAACCTCAGTTGCCACTTTCAGAAAAGTTAAGCATTGACTGTCTCATAGTGAGGTGTGTGCCTAAAAGTCCTAAAAAGAAAAACTAATAACAGAAAATATATATAATAAGTGTTAGCTTAACCATCAAGCTTAAGGAATGAACAACTATCAAAAAAGTTAAATTTAGGGTGATATAACTAAGATGTTATTCTGTGGCACTTGATATGAAAGAAATACGAACCAGAACCAGCTTACTACCCAGAATATGACACTACATAGAAACACACACACATAAATCAAGGTTTGCAAATCTCTTGAGATTCGCATAAAAGTAAATATCAAAGGAAGATGGTTCTTGATATGGCATCAGGATATAGCCCAACAAACTTGAGGAAACTTTAACCCATAAAACTCTAGTTTTATAAAATAAATCTGAAAATAAATGAGCCCCCAAAAATTTGCACTATGATTAATAAGGGCTTAGCAGTGTTCTTTTTCTGGAATTTAAAATCCTGTATCTAAAGCTAATGAAAGTGGTAGAATTCAGAGTCCAGAATGAAAGTCAAGCCTCATACCTGGGAGAAGCCTGTATTTCATTTATTTGAAGGAAAGACTTGAGGGCTATAAACCTCAGGCACTGTCTCTTCATCTCCCTCAAGAATATATTTTAACATACCTTTTGATATAAAATACTACATAACCTTAAATAGCAGCCTTTTTGGGGGATTAGGACTAATTGGGCTTTCAACTGAATGTTGCTGTGAAACTGATGGCCTTGCTATCAGCAGGGAGCTGGCTATTTTTAATCCAAACACAGAGAAAACGCCATGACAGATATGAAAAAATCTTTAAGCAAATAGACCTTAGAATGTTTAATTTTTGTAAGTCTGTAAGTCTGCAGGTTTCTTTGGTTTTGTTTTTATGTAACAATATCTAATGTTAACTTCAGAAGCTGACTTGTGGGAAGGGACAGGAAAGGTAGTCTCCAAATGATTAAACAACCTCATCCATGAAGCATGAGGTTTAACCAGCAAGGCTTTGAGTAGATACTTTTCTTCTCTTCCTTAGATTCTTCATTTTTAAATGGGGAGGTATCCCTAAAAGATATGTAAATTCCATCTGGCTCCCAATTAAACTATCACTTATGGCACAGGGTCCCCAGCCTCTTAGGGGCCTGTTAGAAACTAGGCTGTACAGCAGGAGGTGAGAGGCTGGCAAGCAAACGAAGCTTCATTTGTATTTACAGCTACTCCCATTGCTCACATTATTGCCTGAGTTGGCAGCATTAGATTCTCATAGAAGTGCAAACCCTATTGTGAACTACACATACGAGGGATCTAGGTTGCATGCTCCTTATGAGAATCTAATGCTTGATGATTTGTCACTGTCTCCCATCACCCTAGATGGCAGAGATCAGTGACAGATGTCATCAAGCATTACATATTGCAATGTAATAACAATGGAAATAAAGAGTACAATAAATGTAATGCACTTAAATCATCCCCAAACCATCCCCTATCCCTGTTCATGGAAAATTTGTCTTCCACAAAACCAATCCTTGGTACCAAAAAGGTTTGTGACCCATGACTTATGGTATTGGGAATCCTAATTATTTCATTTCTCTATCTCTAAGAACTATTTACTTATTTGTTTTTTACAAATATTTTTACATTTATTACAAACTCTATAAATATTTATTAAGTACCTAATATGTTCCAGTCACATAAATACTGGAGATAATGCCATGACCAAAACAGCAAAAATCTCCTCTGCCCTGAAATTAATATTCTACTGGGAATAAAAAATATAAACAAAAGCAAGTCAGAGGATGATAAATTTAAAACAAGGAAGAAGGAATAACTTCAGTAGGGTACGACATGACAATTTTAAATAGAAAACTTCACTAAAATGATGACATTTAACCAAAGAGCTGAAGGAAGTAGGAGGCGAGGCATGTGGAAATCTGGGAGAAAAACATGCCAGGGAAGGCAAGTGCAAACGGCCTGAGACAAGAGCAAGCATGTACATCTTCCGGAAACCACTAGGAGCCCAGTGTGAGTGGGGTGGAATGAGCAAGGAGATCAGTAGAAGGTGAGATTACAGAGGTAATAGGAGAGACAGCTGAGGATTTAAGTCCTTGGAGGTCATTGTATGAATGCTGTGTTTAATTCTGAGAGATGGGAAGCCATGAGCAGCAGGTGTAACATGACCTGCCTCCCTTTGGCTGCTGTGCTAAGACAGATCGCAATGGGCACAAGGTGGGTAGAGGAAACATTAGAGGATGGCTCGGACGAGGATTGTGACAATGTGGCTGGTAAGTGGTCAGATTCTGAATATATCATGAAAGTATTACCAACAAGATTTGCTATTGGATTGGATGTGGGTGTAAGAGACAGAAGTCATAGATTATTTCAACATGCTTGGCTGTAGGAATTGGAAGTATGTTAATAGAAAGACCAGAACCAGGCTGTCAGGCTTTGCAGTCCAACTCTGCCACTGTGACACTAGGCAAGTAAGCATTTCCCTCCACTCTGCATTGCAAAATAGAAGTAATAATGATATTCAACCTCACATGGTGTTGAGGATTATGTGAGTGAATACACAAATTATTAAAATAGTACTTGGCACATAGCCCCATGTAAATGTTTGCTATCATTATTATCATGATATTGGGAAAAATTATAGGGACCAGATTTGGGGAAAGAAGTTCAGGATTTAGTCCGAGGGCACGTGAGGTTTGAGACAAGATTCCTACCTGCAACCCAAGTGGGGACATTGGGCAGTCAGATTCACATATATATGAATCTATAGGTTAAGTATCATCAATGTATAGAAGCAACTGAAAACATAATACTGGAGTAGATAACAAAGAGAAGAGTTCTAAAAATATTGCCCTGGGGAACATGAAGGGAGAGAGAATATAACAATGTCCTTGAAGCCAAATAAATCAATCATTTCAAGGAGAAGGCAGTGATCAGCTCAATCAAAGGTTCCTGATTGCTCAAATAAGAAAAAGACTGAGAATTTTCTATTGGATTTAGCCAGGCAGAGGTTCTTAATCAAGAGCTTTCTCATAGAGGGGTAAGGGTGAGGACTAGAAGGAAGAATTGGAAATAATAAGCAAAGTCAAGTCTTCTTAAAAGTTTTGCTCTGGAAGGCAGTAAATAAATATAGTATTACTTGAAAAGTGAGATCAAGAAACATTATATTAATGTGGGGGAAATGGCAGCATATTTGTATGTTGATAGGAATGGTGTAATAGAGAGGAAAAAATTAATGATGCAGGAGAGAAAGGAGACAAAGATAAATCATTCTCATCCTGCACCTCGCAACTAGGCAGACAAGAAAGGTGGGTCACGGGAAGCTTCAGTGTGATTTGAGGTACTCAAGGCTAGGGATCCCCAAGCTCCCCAGAAGTACAAAGGTGAGAATGGATTTTCCTGCCACTACAGGAAGAACTACTCATTACTTATGCTTTCTGGGCAATTGGGAAAATACTGTTGACCCAGCCCGTTCCTCTCTGGTTTAGAGAAAGAAAGTCATTGGAGAACGGAAGCCTCAGGCAGCCAATATGTCTTCCTCTGCAGAGTATTGGCCTTTCCTCACTGAAAACTCAATACACAGTTCCTCCCAAATGCTAAGAGACTTTACTAGAATTAGATCATCTAACCCTCTGTACCAATGAGGAGTGTATCACAATTATTTATGTTTTAGAAATGCAGGAACTAGGATCTTCTGTAGACAAATAAACTGCTCAGGAGATTTGAACTGAGATCTGACCTCAGAGCCTGAGCACTTCCTCTTCAGTCTACCTGCTTCACTATCTAACCCCTTCCATGCATGTCTTACTCAAGGACAGACAGCAGTTGCAGAAAGAGAACCAAATCTGAAACTCACTTCTCTTCCCCTGAAGAAAAATAATTCAAGATTTTCTTGAATGGAAAAAGCGAGTGCTGAAATGGATTCACATGTTTATATAACACCAGGACATAATTTTACTCTGTCATTAACTAGTCTTATGAACACTGATAAAGGTACATTTCATGACACCTTCAAAATGCTACTTGCCTGCCTTACAATTACTTGCCATCATCTCAGAAGCTTGAAAGTTCAATAGTTAATTAATGTGAAAATCATCACTGAGCCCCAGAACTACACAGTATTTTCCAAGGAACACTCACAAAGCCTAGGTTTGTACCTAGTGTCAAAAGTCTAACATTAGACTGGATAAGTGGGAATCTGATCGAGAAAGTCCCATACTCCCAGAGAACCTAGGAGCCAGGGACCCTGAATTCTTCCTTTAAGAGTAGCATCAGATCCTTCTCCTAAATATCTCTCCTTTTCTTTTTAATAAGAGGAACACAAAACTGGATCAATCAGTTAAGACTTATTGAGTCCCTGCTGTGTGCTGTTCTAGACAAGACAGGTACATATTCTGCCCTTCTTCGTGTAACTTGAATCAAGAGACACAATTTCTCGAATTTCATTTTCTCCTTCTGCAACATGAAAATTTGACTTAAAAAGTTTTCTAATATTTCAAAAGCTGTGTTCCTTTTCTAACTCTCACATTAGCCAGCACAGAGAAGGCACACAGAGATACTCCTAACATGCCAGTTGCATTAGGTGGGCTGAACCCTAGACACCAAAGAGTAAGTGGCCTCAGGTAAATTTATTTCCTCTCTCAACTACTTTTCCTTGTATATTGGAATAATAGTAGCTCCCTGAAAGGACTGGTGAAAATTAAATGATATGAATAATATAAAACACCTGTTTGATTGTAATGTGCTTTGTGCTCTTCAAGTTAAAGGTGGATTAATTTTAAGTTACTTTCAAATCCTTTATTTCTAGTTCTACAGAAACCATCATGTTTTCTTAGGGCCAAGGGAGTCAGATCTTTCCATTAACATCTAACCTCTTGGGAATTTTCCAGAACCCTTTTATCTGCCCCAATCACAAAGGACCGTATATTAAGCACTCTAACTTCATCGTCTCTCAAATGAGCTAACAGAAAGTTCAATGAATTGTATATTGTCTATTTAATGACTAATCTGGCAACCCTAATGTGGCATGAAAATGATTCCTGTTAGAAACAAAATGAAAAAAAATCAAAATTTCAGACACTTTATCAGTTTTGACTATCTTTTTATAGGGCAAACTTTGGATGTGAAGAAAATTATGCTCTATGTCTACGTTTGCTTATAATTTACCTTGAAGAAGATTGAACTTTGCCACTATATCTGTCCTTATATGGCCGCTTACAGAGATACTTACCTGTTTCATCTCATTTAATTTTCAGAAAGGGAAAAAAATTATTATCCACATTTTACCATTGTAGAAGCTGAAATTCAGATAAATAAGGTAATATGTATGTCACATGGCTAGCTTATTGTGTAACAGAGATTCAATCCCTTGATGTCATAGTTTATTACTAGTCCTTTTTACTATACCGGGTAACCGATTTCTGAAGACCTTTGATGTTCTCACCACCTCATTCACCATGTTCTTATGGTATGTTGTCTGATAACATTACACGAATTTGATGAATTATTTATTCACCAAATAACTATTTTTCCTCTCTTATTAGGTGCTTTCCTAAGATTAGGACTGTAATAACCATAAACAGACATAATTGCAAAAATAAATGTGAGGTTGGAACTGTCGTTAGTGTCATGAAGAAGTATATGATGCTGGTCACACATAATGGGAGGATTTTATCTAGTCTGGGGCATAGAATCAGAAAAGACTTCCTAAAAAAGAGATAACTGAGCTAAAATCTAAAATCTAACTAGCAGCAAACCAGGCACAAGAAGAGTGTTCCAGGCAGAGGAAATGGCATGCACAAGGACAGTGGAAGGAGAGGAGAAGAGTCACAAAGAACTGGGAACAGATCAGGGAAGCCAGAGCAGAAACCAGCGTGGGAGAGGGGTGGTATAATGTGAGAAGAGACAACACACAACAGGGATTTTTAGAAATAGATTTTATTTTTTACAGCAGGTTTACAGCAAAATTAAGAGGAAAGTTCAGAGATTTCCCATATACCCCCTACCCTGAGACATGCATAGCCTCCCCCATTATCAACATCCCTTACCAGAGTGGTACAATTTTTGCAATTAATGAACCAACATTGACACGTTATCACCCAAAGTCCATAGTTTACATTGGGGTTCACTCCTGGTGTTGTAACTATATGGATTTTAATCACTATTATGAAAAATGATGTCTCTCTTTCTCTTGTTGATTTAACATATATTGATAAAGCACTCATCATATACCAGGCACTGGAGAGCCAGTAATGACAGATAGCTCCTGCACTCACGCACTTTGAGTTTTCACCAGAATACATGAAATAGGTCACTGAAATTCAATTCTATGACAATTTCAGGAAGTATATCTAAGAGGGACTTCTAATCTAGACTAGAAGGTTGGGATTGCATTAGGTAGGACCTAAACACGAATGAATGTTAGCCATAAAAAGGTAGGGAAGTGTTTCATAAGCCAAGGTAACAGAGTAGAAGGTCTATAGGTAATGGACTAAACCATAGAGTAGAAGTGGGGTTTAGAAATGAGGATGGAGATGTAGTTAGAAGTCAGCATGGGTCTCATAAATTATGTTACAGAATGTGCGATTTCTCCTAAATCACTGGAACTTTTCATCAGAGAAGAAATCAGACTAATTTATGTTTTCTCTTTGACTGCAGAATTGAAAATGGTTTGAATTGGACACCACAGAAGGTAGGGAGATATATATATATGAAAGCTATTACTATAGTCAAGACATGAGGTATGGTGACCTGAATTGGAGGAGCTACAGTGGGGATAGAGAGAGACAGATGGACTCACGCCACATCCAGAAGGTAGAATAAATAGAATGTGCTCTTTTGCAGAAACTGCCTTTGTTTTAGCACATTGCCTGAAATGCCTGCAGCCCCTTCTAGTTGAAATGACTCTGCCCATAGCCTCTGCTAAAGAAACAGCCACGATTTGCACATGTGATGCCATTACCCAGCAGGTCCAGGTCACTAGAGGAGGGGAATCTTATTGGATAAAGGCTGAGTATCTGACCCAGAGCTAGGATACAATCTGTCTTAAATAAATTCATATTGTCTCTCCCGAGGATCAAAGTCAATAAATACAAAGAAAATAAGGCAAATCACAAAATACAATCTAACATTATGAGAAAGTCGAGCCACATGTAGAGCAACGTTAAGTTAGAATGCTAGAGTGAAAAGCCTTATATCCCAAGCTTCAGAGCTAACTTAACCCACCCTGGTCCTGGAATCCCACCTCAGCTACTGCTCTTCCTTTGGTTATCTGGCCCTTTCCAATGTCCCTTGCCTGCATATTGCTACATTAAATCCCCCACTGTTCGAGAAAATCTGAGTTAGTCTCGAATTCTTGAAGCCAAGTTAGTTCAACAAAAACAGTCCATCATACATCTCTTGAGGAAAGACAAACATCCGCCATCCTCCAAAGTACTGAAACAATGCAATTTTTCTTTCAAAAACCGTTCCCATAGCTGTTTAACTGGTAGTTCTCTTCAAGAGCATACAGGAAGATTAGATTTAATGGGAGTGACTGGTGGTTCCATATTTTAGTGAGAAATGAATAAGAAAAGGGGACTTCCATTGTAGTTAGAGGAATTTCAATTGGATTTTTCTTAAAAAGTAATGATATTTTATGCTAGAAAGGATACATAATGAATCTTCTCTGGACGTAACAGATAGCAAATCATTTTAGAAAAGTATTAGACTTTTTAAAATTGGAGTTCAATATATGTGCTACTCTCCAGAGCTCCATGAGCCATGATAGTTGCACTTATGGTGAATGAGGATCAGCTCATCAGCTCTGATGGACACAGAGGCCCAGGTAGCCCTTCGGAAAAGGTTACAGCCTGCAGGTCTTTAGTTCATGTGGTGGGAGGGAGCTTGAAGAAAAGACACAAGATCAGCATTTAGTGTCAGAATGCCTCCACTGAAGGTTTGGCTCTATGCATTGTAAGTTTCTATTTTAGAATTTTTAACATAGAGATAGAAAGCTTTGCATGGTTACTGTATCACAAAGTTGCCATGTAGAAAGCATAATATAAAGTGGACATCACTATACACTGTTCATATTTGTGATAAGAAGAGTTTTCTTACAGAATAAGGAAAACTACTGGTGAAACTCACATACAATAGCAGTTAAAAACATAGACTTTGGGATCGGATGGGCCTAGCTTTGGGAATCCACTTGTTATAACACTAATCCCATAATATTGGACCAGTAAAACTCTTCAACACTTAGAGTCATCAGCTAGAAAATGGGTTAAAATGGCACCTGACTTCATAAGCCATTTAGTTTTAAATTAAATTACATGAGACCATAAAGTATTAAGCCTTCCAATTCATACTTATTACTCTAAATATTAATTTTAATAGCAGCAGCAGTAGCGAGTGGGTTTTCAAATATTATTTATATACATCTCAGATCCTATAACATCTTGTATTGCCTATCCCAAGAAGTAACTCAGAATGGGCAACCTTGACTATAAATCTAATTTTTATAGCAACTAGCAATATGCTTCATTTATGTGACACAATAGTTTCCTCTTTGCTAGCAAAAGGAAATTCCTCTTTCCTCTTTCCTAGTAAAAGAAAATGTAGTCACTTTTTCCAGCCACTAATATGTAGTTGTCATTTAGGGAGAGTGCAGGACTGGTGGGCTGTCTTGAGGAAACACATTCTCTTAACATAGTGTTCAATTTATTGTTTAGAGTCTTCTAATTTAGTTTAGAAATAAGACTGGCAAGAAGAAAACACTCTATTCTATAATAAATGAACACCTACATCCTTAGAGTCTGTAATTTTGACTCCTACTTGTTTTCATGTGTCCAGTCATTCAACAAATATTGATTGGCACTGGATTAAACATTGGCTATTTAACAGCTAGCAAGATTCACATGGTACCTGCCTTCAACAGCTAGTAGTCCACTGAGTGCAGGGTAAAATAACCAACAATTACAATACTGTGTTTTAAAAGCTATGATAGGATAAATATGTTTTATGACTACCTAGGAAGGACATTTGACTCAGACTCATTAGGAAGCAATCCCATATGAAAACACAGGATTTGTCTCTTCTCCCTTATTAGATTATAGACAGGTACTCTTGACAAAATCTGGCTTACTTTATCTTTGAATTCTCTGTAGTAGATGAATTATCACTTAGCACAAGTACTTGCCTGGGGTGTATCCAGTTGATTTTCTCAGGCTCACTCAGTATCTATCCCAATCTTCTTATAATATCCTACAAGGTTGAAAAACTAAAAATAAGATTTCCCAGACTCCCTTACGTACATGGTTATGACTGTGACTTGGATTAGACCAGTTAGATACAATCACAATGATTTGCTTTGGAAATGGTTAAATGCAAACAGAAGTAGTACAAAAAGCATCTGATACAGGTGCAGACTGTAGCAGACACATGGGTTGGAGCCAACAAGTTTGACAATGACTTCCTGGGTCATAGTCAAGGTGGTATGAACCTGAGGCCAGCAGTTTAAATAGAAGCTTCCTGACTCCCTGACTTTTCAATTGCGACAGAGATGACAGCTCTCTCAGTGGGCAAGTTCTGCAGTGTAACTCTTACTCTACAGTCATTTCTAGAGGCCCAGCCTAAGGGTTGCTTTTCCAGCATTTTGAACAATGTTGTAGCCAACTAACTCCTTATATTAAGTCCCTTTCTGCTCAAACTAGCTGGAACTATCTCTGCTATCTGAAACTGAACCTTATTGCAGCCTTTTAAGCAAAAATTAAAATTTTCGAAAACATATACTAAGCTCCATAGTCAATACATAAAGCACTATAAAGAATAATAAGGCCACCCATTGAATGTGAAAACAGCAAGAATGAGCACACAATGGCACACTTAATCAACTACATGAAGAATTGTGCTTAAGATGGTCTGAGAATGCATTTAGCAGTAGTTTGGAGTCACTCAAAGCCAATCAATGTGGCTCTGTTGCATGCTTAGAACTGGCATGTAACAAATAGGCAGTCTAATCTATCCCATTTAAGAATGTGTTCTGGGCCGGGCGCGGTGGCTCACGCCTGTAATCCCAGCACTTTGGGAGGCCAAGGAGGGTGGATCATGAGGTCAGAAGATCAAGACCATCCTGGCCAACATGGTGAAACCCCATCTCTACTAAAAATGCAAAAGTTAGCCAGGCATGGTGGCATGTGTCTGTAGACCCAGCTACTCGGGAGGCCGAGGCAGGAGAATCACTTGAACTGGGAAAGCAGAGGTTGCAGTGAGCCAAGATTGGGCCACTGCACTCCACTCCAGCACTCCAGCCTGAGCAACAAAGCAAGACTCTGCCTCAAAAAAAAAAAAAAAAAAAAAGAATGTGTAAAAAAAAAAAAAAAAAAAAAAAGAGGAAGTCAGTAAGCAGAAACAGGTCAGTGTGGCTTTCACATCTTAGAGATGGAGAACCAATCAACAGACAAGACAATCAGCCTCCCTTGGAAGGTGTGATTTTGTTGGTTAAGAGCACTTGCCTGGAAGATTGTCCACCTAATTCTTTTGGGTCTGTTTGTTACTGGGGGGTCCTTGCTCCCAGAGCTCCCAAGATGGTGGCAGGCCACTTCCAAAATGGAGGCAGGCCGCTTCCAAGATGGTGGCGAGCCTCCTGTTCTCTGACCTGGGGTTCTTGGCCTCACGGATTCCAAGGAATGGAATCTTGAGCCATGCAGTGAGTGTTATAGCTCTATTAGAAGCCTTCGCTCATGGAAGAGAACCATGGAACCCGGTGACTAGTGCTCAGCTCGATTAGGATGAACCCGGGCACTTAGTCGTGCAGGAACAATGGCAAGCCTTTAGCCCCATCGGGAGCGGCAATGGGCACCTTGCTGGATCAGGAGCACAGCGAACACCCTGCCGGATCCGGAGGGATGGAAGTCAGCAGCAGGTCTGCCATGGTGGCAAACAGCAGTGGTGGACAGCCAGCGAAAGCTCAGCTTGAGCCCTAACAAACACGGACCAGAAGAGAATGCAGTTGCAAGATTTAATAGAGTGAAAACAGAGCTCCCATATAAAGGGAGGGGACCCAAAGAGGGTAGCCATTGCCGGATCAAATGCCTGGGTTTATATCCCGATCACTGTCCCTCCTCCTGTGCTCTCAGGTGATAGATGATTGGCTATTTCTTTACCTCCTGTTTTAGCCTAATTAGTGTTTTAGTGAGCTCTCTTTACTATCTGACTGGTCAGGTGTGAGCTAAGTTGCAAGCCCCGTGTTTCAAGGTGGATGTAGTCACCTTCCCAGCTAGGCTTAGGAATTCTTAGTTGGCCTAGGAAATCCAGCTAGTCCTCTCTCTCATGTTTCCAGATTATAGATTTGTAAAATATCTAGCTAGCTGCCCATCACATGGTGAGTATTTTACATACCTAAATTCACTTTCTTCTTTCACCGTAGTCTTTCTAAATCCATTGTATATATGAAAAGGCTGAGACTTATGGAACATAAGTAATATACCCCAGGTCCCAGAGCCAAGTAGTTGGCAGAGCCAGAATTCACTGACTCTTTAATGCTACATGCAGAATCTTGAAAGGCATTTTATATTATGCAGCTTCCCACAAAAAAATACTCAACCAGGGAGAGAATGTATTGACCAAATGATATAAATATTCAGGTCCTCTTGCCAACCAGAGTTATCTGTAAAATAATTGTGTCTGGTTGTAAAGTAGTCCCTTTTGAATAGGAATACCATGATTTCTCACACCTCATCCACTTCCTCAGACCTGTTGCATCAATTTCGTATATTTTAGAGGACCAACAAAGTTAAGAACAGTCTCAGGAACATGCCAAACCTACCAAAATGTCATCTTTGGGGGCCAGCCTGAACAGCAAACAAGCCTCTTAATTTATTCCTTTTCTTCTAAAGCCACAGCCTTTATCTTTCTCCTCCCTCTGTCTCCAGGAAGCTGTTGTGTTTTATGTGTCCAGCTCTTGGGTATTTACTGTAACTGCTTGACACAAATTTTTGAGCTATTTTGGTGAAAGGCTTGCCCCCATGTTGTTCTCACATGAAAGATTTTCCAAAGGTTTTATAATTCCACAGCTCAGTCTTATCTTGAATGGTCTTTCTTAAATACAGGCTCTGTGGACAGCAGGGAGTCTTAGCAGCTGCTTTTGTGATGTAATTTCATGGTCAACAAAAAAGCAACTCTGACCCTCATAAAATTTCATCTCCATCTGTTCAATGGTATCTAAAAATCAAAAGAGATTTATTCATTTAAGCTGTGACTTCCTGTGTTTCCCACAATTCACATACCCCTAGGAAACTAGTATTTTAAGCTTCATCAGTCATTAACATCCTACTGAGACTGAGTTTATCAATTCTTCTACCTACAGGAAGTTTTTAATAGGGACAGAAAGGGAAGCCTCAGATCATAAGGCTGTATTTAAAGCACAGGACCATGGAGTATTGTGCCTGTCTCTCTAGAACCCAACTCAGAGGAGAGAAGTATCAAATGCCTGATTCACTCTCTCCATGGTCTCTTTTTTATTTCACTAGATCTTCTGCAATCTGGCTGCCACTGCCACCGTCTGAGTGTGTTCACTGATATGTAAGCTCCATAAGGGAAGAAATTCTGCCCATGCTTTGTCCCAGCTGGGACTGCCACAAAGCCCATGCTCAATGAGCATTTACAAAAAAAAAAAAGGAAGAAAAGAAAATGTGGAAGAATGACCTTCCAGTGGGCACTATTCACTTCTTATGGAAACTCTCTGGAGCATTTGTTTACCATTTTCTAATTCTTGGAACCCCTCCCTTGTTGTTCATGTTTCCCCGCCTTCCTTGGGTGAAAGTGAAGAGATGATGGTGGCACACTGATGAGGAGATAGAACTCTGGAGTCAGACAGACAAGGTTTAAATCCAAGATCTTCTACTTACTAATTGTGTGACCCAGGCAGGTACTTAATTGTCCAATTTTGTTACTTCATGAAAAATATGGGAATCTGAAAAGGTTTTGCACAATCAGATTGCAATAAGGATTATGTAAAAGAATCCCTGTTAACACTACATAGTACCATATACATAGTCAGCAATCATAAATATTAGCTATGATTTTAATATGTTAAAACCGTTTGGTTGCTATTTCTCATGCTCATTCATCTGTCACTTAAATCTTTACAGATGAAAAAACTGAATATTCCTCAGGTTTCCATTCTTTTGCTTCTTTTGCTTTTAACTCTATCTACATCTGCTCCCTGTGAATTCTCATCCAGTCTATAGCCTCAATTACCCATTACATTTTAATGATAGACCCTTTAACACTTAACTCTCATTTCTGAACCATCAACTCCTATGTGACAGATATTACTATGAATTCATCCAAATTCACTTTTTTCTACCTTTCTAGTACACTGCTAGACTACGTTTCCCAACCTTCCTTAGAGTTTTGTATGGCCATGTGAGTAGCTTCTGTCAATGGAATATGGTGGTGATAAAAACAAGCCATCTCTAGGATTAGCACATAAAACACCTTCCAAGTGATCATTCATACTTTCTCCCCATCTATCAGTCTGTGCAGAAGATCTAGGGGAGGAGATGGATCCTTGAGAATGGTGAGGCCATTAAGATTGTGGAGCAGTGTCCCTAAATGACCCTGGGGAAGGCTACTTGCCAACCAAGAACAACTGCATTGTTCTTTGCATGAGCAAGATACTGAATTAAAATGTTGAGATATGGGAGGATTGTTACAGCAGCTAGTGGTTTATTACATACCCTTTATTTAACAGCCTCATAGACCTTTCACTTAGCTGTTCCCTCTGCAAATCAAATTCAGCATGACTAAAATTGAATTCTTAATTGTTGAAATTTTTACTAAAGAAGATATTTTACTTAACCAAAATTCAGCAAACTTTTTAACCTTTTCTCAGGCCCATCTGTGCACTTCCTTGTAAAATCCAGTGTTAGACAGGAAACATACTGCTAAGTCAGTGTGGTACTGTGAAATTAAAACCAGCCCAACTTCTCCATAAAACTGACAGTTATGTGTGTGTGTGTGTGTGTGTGTGTGTGTGTGTGTGTGTTTTTAAATAAACATAGAAATTGACCCTTCCAGTCTTAAACCTTGAAACTTACTGTGTTGGGCCATTCTTGGGTCTCAGGAATACCTGAGACCAAGTAATTTATAAAGAAAAGAGATTTAATTGCAGGCTCTACAAGCATGATGTTGGCATCTGATTGGCTTCTGAGGAGGTCTCAGTGAACTTTTACTCATGACACAAGGTGAAGCAGGAGTGGGCCTGTCACATGGCAAAAGCAGGAGGAAGAGGGAGAGAGACATGCCACACACGTTTAAACAACCAGATCACATGAGAACTCACTCACTATCACGAGGACAGCACCAGGCAATGAGGGATCTGCCCCCATGACTCAAACACCTCCCACCAGGACCCCCCAACATTGAGGGTTACATTTCAACATATTTGGACAGGACAGATATCCAAATCACATCATTTCATCCTTGGTCCCCCAAAATCTCATGTCCTTCTAACATTTCAAAATACAATCATACTTTCCCAAAGGTCTTAACTCATTTTAGCATTAATTCAAAAATCCTAAGTTCCAAGTAAAAAATCCAAAGTCTCAACCAGAGATGAATCCCTTTCACCTAACAGGCTATAAAATCAAAATTAGTTATCTACTCCCAAGATGCAACTGGGATACAGGCATTGGATAAAGATTCCTGTTCCAAAAGGGAGAAATTGGCCAAAAGAAAGGGAACACAGGTCCCACACATGTCTGAATCCCAGGAGGGAAGTCATTAAATCCAAAAGCTCCAAAATAATCTACTTTGACTCCATGTCCCACACTCAGAGCACACTGCTACAAGCGGTAAGCTCCCAAGACCTTGGGCAGCTCTAACTCTGTGGACTTGCAGGGTACAGCCTCTGCAGGTGCCCTCACAGGCTGGAGTTGACTGCCAGCAGCTTTTCCAGATTCAAGGAGCAAGCTGCCAGTGGATCTACCATTCCAGGGCCTGTAGGATGGTGGCCCCTTACCACAGTTTCACTGGGCAGTGCCTCAGTGGAGACTCTCTGGGGGGTCCCCAACCCCACATTTCCCCTTAGCACTGCCTTAGTAGAGGTTCTCTATGAGGGGACCACCCCTGCAGCAGGCTTCTGCCTGGGAACTCAGGCTTTCTCATATACCCTCTGAAATCTAGATAGAGGCTGCCAAGTCTCCTTTACTCTTGCACTCTGCATGACCACAGGCTTAACACCACATGGTAACCACCAAGGTCACCTTTCCAAGTGGCAGCCCAATCTGTACCTAGGCCCCTTTGAACTGCATCTAGAGCTGGAACAGCTGGGTGGGGAGCAATGTCCTAAAGCTGCCTAGGGCAGCAGGGCCTTGGGCCTGGCCCCCATAACCATTCAGTCCTCCTACACCTCTGGGCCTGTGATGGGAGGAGCTGCTTTTAGATCTATAAAATGCCTTCCAGGCCTTTTTCCCATTGCCTTGGCTATCAGCAACGGGCTCTCTTTTAATGATGCACGTCTCCCTAGCAAGTGGTTATTCTGCAGCCTGCTTGGATTCCTTTCCTGAAATAGTTTATTTGCCACCTGGCTAAGCTGCAAATTTTTCAAACTTTTATGCTCTGCTTCCCCTTTAAATATAACTTCCAACTTTGGGTCATATCTTTGCTCCCACATCTGAGCATAGACTGTTAGAAGCAGCCAGGACACTTCTTGAATGCTTTGCTGCTTAGAAATTTCTCCCACCAGATACCCAATTCATCATTCTAAAGTTCAAACTCCTGCAGATCCCCAGGGAACAAATAAAATGAAGCCAAGCTCTTTTCTTAGGTATAACACAAGTTATCTTTGCTACAGTTCCCATTAAGTTCCTCATTTTCATCTGAGACCTCCTCAGTCTGGACTTCACTGTTATTATCACTATCAATATTTTGGTCACAACAATTTAACCATTCTCTAAGAAGTTCCAAACTTTCCCTCATCTCTCTCTTCCTGTCTTCAGAGCCTTCCAAACTCTTACAACCTCTACCTGTTACCCAGTTCCCAAGCTGCTTCCACACATTTAAGTATCTTTATAGCAATGCCCCACTTTTCAGTACCAGTTTTCCGTGTTAGGCCATTCTTGCACTGCTATAAAGGAATACCTGATGCTGGGTAATTTATAAAGAAAAGAGGTTTAAATGGCTCACAGTTCTTTAGGCTGTACAAGCATGGTGCTGGCATCTGCTCTGCTTCTGGAGAGACATCCAGGAGCTTTTACTCATGGTAGAAGGAGAAGCGGGAGCAGACACATCACATGGCAAGAGCAGAAGCAAAATGGGGGAGGTGCCACACACTTTGAAACAGCCAGATCTCATGAGAACTCACTCACTATCATGATGACAGCACCAAGCCATCAGGTATCTTCCCTCATAACTCAAACACCTCCCACCAGGCCCCACTTTCAATATTGAGATTTACATTTCAACATGAGATTTGCACAGGACAAATATCTAAACCGTATCACTTACCTTTCTCTTATCTGAGTTTTTTCCTTAGGAAATGGACCCTCATGCCTCTCAGATAGTATCAAGGTACTGAAACTCACCAGATCACTGCATCCAGACAATGAGATGCCAGAACCCTCAATCATCATTATTGCTTCCTTATCCCTCCCTAAGTCCTGCTATCCACCACATAGCTACTACATTCATTTCCCCACTATACAAACTCCCAATTTTAGTTGGCTAGGAGAGACGGATTTGAGATTTGGGTCCTTTCTCTCTGGCTGTTGTCACTGAAATATTGCCTTTCTCCCATGGCAATACTGATTGTCCCACTGATTGGATTTCTGTGCTTTACCAAGACCCAGACCAAACCCCTGGTGTTTTGGTAACAACATAATAAGAAATACATATTAGTCTCTGCCTCCCATTTCCTGGCACAGAGCTCTTGAAACCCTTGTAGATAATAGGGCAGTTGGAAAATAATCTGTCCTATTATTTGGTCTTTGACCTGGGTTCCTAACACAAATCTTCTAAGACATTAATAAATTCTTGAGTGATGGGAACCTCTGTTTCAGGTCCTAAAT